TCGGAAGCGTGATGTTCGGTGATGTTTTGGGGCTGATTGCGTGTTTCTTGTTTACGCCATATCCTTATACGCTTGTCATCTGCTCCAGAGCAAATCTTGACTCATCAGTGAACATAACTTTGCCCAGTCAGACACAGTCCATTTGCCATATTCCCGGTACCACTTGAATCGTGCCCTCTTGATTGAACGGATAGAGGAACACAAACTCGAGGTACTCGGGCATACATTCCATTCATATGTAATCTTCGGCGTACAGTAGCTGTCGATATAGCCTTACAATGAACGCTGTAACCATAGATGTCACACGTGTGGAGGTTGCTCTGCGATTACGCTTGGCTACAATAGCATTATATCGATCTTTCGTGGGGGTTGTATCCTTTGAACAACCATCTTATGGGCCTTCGGACAACTGTCTGTGTGGTTTGGAATTGTTTCCATAAACGTAAAATTACAGAATGATGAACGCCGAAGAAAAGAGCAACATCTGTGATCGACTGTCCTGCTTCAATGCGCCCCACAGCACGCCAGCGCTCAGAATCTTCCATTCATTTTCTGGAGGTCATAAAACCACGTATGTCTTGAAAACAAATTGTTCGAAAGTTATAAAAACCTTCTATCAGCATTTACAATCAACTTCTGTAACCCTTCATAAAGCTGGCTTTTTATAAAACTGCCCTTTTTGCATATTTCATGTCATGAAAGCACGATTGTCTGTAACCTGACATATTTGCATACTTCCATATACCTCTGCAGTGAATTGCATCCTCTTCAATTCTGATTGGCTTCCGGAAATTAGTATTTTCCTCTCCGTGCTTAACTTTTAGAAAGGAGTGTATTTCTACAGAAATATATAAATATATATATTTATCTCTCTCTCTCTCTCTTTATACATATATATATATATATATATACATATATATATACTGGTGTCCAAAAGTTTAATTCATAATTATGCGAATAAAGAAGGAACTGTAAATCAGAATGGTGGCAAATGTGATACGCGAGTGTAAAATGGTTATAAAATAAGGAAGCAAATCAAAAGAATGATAATAATTAATTTCATTATCCGAAGTAGCAGTGTGAAAGAAAACTGAGCATAGCAAGAAATGAAAGCTTTTTAAAGAAAAAAAGAAAGAAAACATTAAATAAAATACTCACGCTGCAGTTTAATAAGGCGTGTGGTAACCTCTGACAGCCAGGCACGCTGCACAGCAATTTACCATACTTGCTATGAGATGATGAATGAGTTGTGGGCTCAAACATTCCAAGGTTCTTGGAGAGCTCTCTTCAGTTCTGCAACGGAGCTTGGTGGGTGCGAAAGGGCTGAAATTTGTCTGCCGAGCATATCCCATACATGCTGGATAGTATTTAAATCAGGGGAGTTCGCAGGCCACGAAATGCGATGGATGTGTTCCGTTTTAAGGAAGTCATCAATCAGCACCGCACAGTGACATGGCGCATTATCATGCATGAATATGAGGTCAGGACCGGCAGCAACTCGAAACAAGCGAACATAAGGCTCCAGAACTGCGTCTTTGTATATTTCATCAGTCACAGACCCCGTGTCAAAGAAATGGAGGTCTGTGCGGCCGTCCATCATGAAGCCTGCCCACACCATTACTCCCCTTCATGAAAAATGATGTCTTTCCGTTATGTTTCTTGGTTCAAAACGTGTTTCACGTTCTCTCCATATCGTTACCTGCCGAGAATCACTACTCAGACTAAACCGGGACTCGTCACTGAACATCGCATTGGCCCACTCTCCCACACTCCATTGTTGATGGTTCAAACTTCAGTTCAAATGAGCGCATTTATGCGCAGCCGTGAGGGGAATGCAAACTGCTGGTCTTCTGGTATACAGGCCAGCATGATTGAGTCTGGTGTAAACAGTTTGTCTCAAAATTCGTATTCCTGTTGCGACTGTGAGCGCCGAACCCAGTGCTCTCGCAGTACTGTCCCTCTGACGTCGCGCACTTATTACCAGATATCGGTCTTGGCGAGGGGTTATGATTCTTGGTCGACCTGATACTGGTTGTCGGGTAACATCTCCCGTTCTTTGAAACTTCTGCCACAGTCTTGAGATCACAGATTGGTCCGCATTCAGAATTCGAGAAACTTTGGTTTGTGATCGTGAGGATTCCAGCATTCCAAGGATTCTTCCTTTCGTAAACAGGTCTAATTGGCGTCTTTGTGCCATCATTCACCTTGTTTGATATTTAACAACGTTCCTTGGCACAGCAGTTGCACGGCACCTGTCTGAACTGCCTATGCTGCATGAATCGGTTTCTCCGAGTTCCGACATGCGTCGGTGTTTCGCGCAAGACTTAGTTGACTGAAAAGTTTTGCATAAACCCAATGTTTATTCTTCAACCAATTAATATCCGCAGAAATTTGGAATAATTTTACGAATATTTACTCCATGTTTTTCGCATTTTACGATTTATGCTTAACTTTTGGATACCAGTATATATATATATGAAGCTGAATACATTCACATCTTGTTTTATTTCATATATAGAAAACATTCACACACAAGCACAAAGTTACATGGAACAAATAAGCAGTATCAGATATTAATATAACATTATGACAAATACAAGGCATGGAGCGAATTTTCCAGCGAATCTGGTCTTTTATATGAAATGCAAACCGGAAGTTCCAAAACTCACATGACTTCCGTGGAAGGATCTTGTGATTGGTGAACACGTACCGTACGAGGCGATTACACAAGGAATAATTGAAAAAACTCTGAGTACATAACTTTGCAATGTTAAAGTTACGATTACATCCCATTAGTCCGGTATGCAAACAGTTAATAAATTACATGAAAGTCCTTCAAGGTCAGGACCATTACAAATTAAAACCTTGAAATTTGAAATTAACGTGAATTATTACATACGTATATATGTACTTATACATATATCTTAGAGTGTGGTAAAGTTTATTTGTAGTTGATAATTTTGATAATTATGATTTCTTTCATATTTAGAGATAATAACATCACATCCTGTTGCTCATTAATGCGAAAACTGGAATGAACCGAAATACATATTATTTTCTCTCATGGTATTTAATAGATATCTTGTATGAAATAGGGAGGAAATGTGGTATTGCAAAATGTGAATTACTCTCGCTCCCTTTCTAAATGGGAATACTACCAAACACCAGTGCATTTGACTTGAAGAGTACGACGACTTTAGAATTTAAATTAATTTCAAACTTTCCGTATTAATTCGTATCAACTAGCATGATCTTAACAGTTTATGTTTAAGTTATTTAATTATTCGGTTTAGTTTAAGAGGAACTTTACTGTAGTTTCAGTTCTCGTAATGTGAGTTTGTGAAGTTACTCAAGAAAGAAATGACACTCGTTAGTTCTTAATACTCTTCTGTGAATATGTAAGCGTAGCTTTCTGAGAACTGTACATAAATTCTTTAAAAGAAGATATTTTTCGAACCTTTGTAAGATATTGTAAAATACATACAAATAAATAATTTCTACAACCAGCTCAATATTTGTTATTTGTAACATAGTGTATTCTTCTAAACACTGACTAAAATTGCATAAAAGTCAGAAAATGTATCATGATTCTTTTAGACCAGCATTTCTCAAACTGTGAGGCTTACCCCCCCCCCCACCACCACCACGGAAGCATGATAACTTTACGTGGAAGGCGCAAGCATATTGAAAAATCGAAAACAAAAAATTATGTTGAAAACGTTTAATTTTTTGAAAATAATCAAACAAAATACATTTTGGCATAAAAAAATAAAATACACATTTACACTGATATAATACACTTATAAATGCATCAGCACTGCACAAAGTATTTTATAATTAATTTATCAATAATAAGTTAAGAACAACGTTAATAAATACTAATGACCCCATGGACTTGTCCTACGTAAAATTATATGCAAAAATAATGCTTATCGTAATAATTTGTACAGTTTATAATTAATCCGTTACCTGTCGATTAATAGTTACGTGATTCGTTCCCCAATGACAGTGCTTTGCAAGTAAGCGCGCGTATGTGATGCATTGGGGCGGGGGAGAAAAGGAATAAATAAGAAAATCCTCTAATATAAGTAAATCCTTCTCTGTCAAGGTCATTTTATTGCATTCCGAAGCCTTCGGAATAATTTTATAGATAGCAGTGCATAGAAAAAATCAAACATCGAAAAGACGTATATATACGTCCGGGAAAATTAATGCTTTGGCTGAGAGAGACGTTTATATACACCGGTAGCACTGAAGAAGTTAAAGTCGTATTGTAGCTTTAGTATAGTATTATTAAGTATAAAACATTGTTATTATATGGAAGGAATTATGATTGAATATTGTGTCACACAAATATTGAAACTTCGATAAGTACTGTTTCAGACTGAGAAATAAATATAATTATTTATAAAAGCTTAAAATTGTGTTTGAATCAGGTTAATATAACTATTTAATAAATTAGAGTTTAGATTGAAGAATAATTATGAAGAATTCTCTCTTTGAAATTCAGTTATGCTACCAACGTTACGTTTTGAGGAATCTTAATAGAAAATGGGGAAGTGTTTTAACTGCCAATAAAAATTTACGCAATTCGCTCCCCAGTGTCACTCTTTTTCACATAGGCACAAGTATGCGGTGTATTGGGGGGGGGGATAAATCAGAAAATACTTCTCTGAAATAAATAAATGTTTCGCAAACATAGTCAGGATCATCCAAAGCCTTTTAAGTAATTCTATTAATAGCAGCGCAAGGAAAACTTCGTACTTGGGAAAGACGTTTATATACGTCCAGATAAGTTAATGCACTATCTGAGTGATATAAGCGGCGTATAAGGAGTTAACATTGCACTTAAAGCAAAACCTGGGCTATAGGTGACGAACCGCGTAATTTTGATCCTAAGTCAAGTGATCTTTATACGGAAGTTTGTACACGAATTTCAAAGGTAATTTCTTATATTGAATTCTCTGTCATGAACCAATTGACCGCATCCGCCTACATGCATGCTGAAACCCCCGTTTCTCATCCGTTCTTTGAAGTTAAGCATCATCGAGATTAGTCAGTACTTGGGAGGGTGACCACCTGAGAGTACACAGTCATTCGATAGTATGGAAATAATCTCTCCCATCCTGCAAAATAATGATGTTCTTAGTAAACAAATTACTTTACCCACATTCATCATAATTTCAACAAAAATAATTACTAATTTTTTATAGAAATAAATCTGCAACAAAAATTATTAAAAATAGCGCGAATAACGTAGTTCCATATTTTTTAGTGCGAATGAAGCTAATAGAAAAGTAGCATTAGATTATTTTTCAAATAATTTGATTGCTGTTTTCATTTACTAGTGATTAACATTTTTTCAAATCAAGTTTTTAATCGTAACCCTGAAGATTTTACTCATAACTTTGAAGATACCGTACCCTTCATGTCTACTCTTGAACCAGAGGCAATTGTAGATATCGTGCCCATAACAAATTATAAACACAAGATTAAATTACTTTCAGCATTTATTTGTTTCCCTGACGAATCAAATAACTTTTTTATGGTGGAAACACTTTATCACGTACTTACATGAACAATAATAAAGTTCATTACCTGTTAGAAACAAAGAGAGATGTAGATAATATCACAGTGCAAACGCATACTCTTAATCTTTAATGTAGTGGAGCTCGGTTGTAGAAAGCTTACGAACTGTTGATAAGCTGCCTGGTATTTTCTCTACCGATAACTACTCCCACTCACTCAGTCAATTCGTTTCATGTACTTAATCTCATTTACCTATCATATATCTTCTGTAAGAAAGATTTACCAGTTAAGACTTATTATAGAAACTCCGTGTCGTTTTCAAGAAGGAAGCCTCCCGAGTTATCCGTAACAATTTTAGTTAATTTTAATTTATTTGATTTCTTATGGGCTGCGGATTGGTGTTTTTTCATTGCAAACCTAGTACATTCCCCGGAAGCTGGTATCTATTTTTAGTACGGCACCCTATAGGCGGATACCAATCGCTGCAAGTAATTTTGATGCCCAGGTTTCCACCCAAGAGGGAGGCACCTGAGCTCTAAAGATGCGTACCTGTAGTAGGATTTAATTTTGCCCAGATTGCTCAGAGCACCCAAGCCAAACACGATCTAGCGATCTTTAGTATGCAGTATAATCATACGACATGGCCGCTTTCGTTCATGAAAATCTACCGACTTGGGCCGGACTTAGCAGAAAATCAAGGCAGCTTAGCAGCCGGCCAACTTAGGTGCAGAAGGCCAGCGACAAACCAACCAAACCACCAAGCCGGCTTTTAAACTTATTACATATACTTTTAGTAAGTGTAAGATTTAAGGAATTTTATTTTCTTGCACATCAAATTTAGTTAAAAAATTCTTTTTAAAAACATTTATTTCCTTTTCTAATTCTAGTTAAGTTTACTGATATAAGAACAGAAGGGGAAAGATTGGCACTTACCCACAACATTTAACCTTATAATCATAGTCTAGAATCGAAGAGTTTGATATTGTAGTATTAAGGCCATACTACTTAGCTCTGTATTGTCTTGCTGGGTTTTTTTTTGCCTATTATTTAGCATTAGGTTAAAACAGGGTTTCTCAAACAGTGGGTGCGCCCCTATGGGGGCGTGAGCATATTGAAAAGTCGAAAACAAAAGATTATTTTAAAAAATATATTAATTTACTGAAAGTAAAGAAGCAAAATACATTTTGACATAATAAAATATAAAATACACATTTGCACTAATATAATACCCATACAAATGTATCAGAACTAAACAATATATTTTATAATTAATTTAGCAATACTAAGTTAAGAACAAGTTTAACAATTACCATGACCCCATGGGCTTGTCATAAATTAAAATATTTACAAAAATTAATACTTAACTTGATCATTTGTGCGGTTTATAATTAATCCTATAGCTGCCGGTTAAAAGTTACGTGATTCGCTTTCCCAATGTGTCCCCTGTTTGCACATAGCCACGTTTGTGTTATATTTGTGAGGAGATGAAAAAGAATAAATAAGTAAAACCTTCTCTGAGGCAAGTAAATCCTTTCCAAACCCTGTCAAGGTCCTTTTATTGCATTCCAATCCTTTCGGAATAATTTTATGAAAAGTAATGTGCAGAGAAGATAGTATTTCAGAAAGAGGTATATATACCTCCGGGGCAAATAACGCTTTTGGTTGAGTGAGACATTTATATACGCCGGTGGGCTTTAAGAGGTTAAAGTCGTATTGTAGCTTTATCATCAAATTATAATATTATTGAATTCAATACATTGTTAATATATGGAGGGAAGCATGATGAAAATTATGAATGAATTTTGGGTCACAAATATTTGAAGTTTGAGAAGCACTGATTAGAATAATGGTAATTTAGTATATTATTAATGAGTATATACACACAATGTGGCTCTGATTATACATAATGATATTTAAGACACTCATAATGACACACTAAATCGTTTAAATCTCTTGAATTTTTGAATGTATTTATTTGAACAAGAAACTATTACAAGTATATCAAAACGACAATAGCCTTTTGAATAAATATTGCAACATTTCAGTTGTGAAAATGCTTACGCCCAAAATATATAACAGGTAAATGTAACTATTATGACCATTTTAAACGCCCTTCCCCTTTTAGCAAACTTCCATAACTCTCGTAAAGAGCTGAGTAAGTTACAATTTTCTGAAACATTGTCACGTCCCGTCTTTATCATTTTACATAATAAGCATTCTCAGCAAACAAGTTTGCCAAAGTAGTAATAAGAAAATTTAAACGTCTATCGTACAGGCTTGGAAGAAACGATGCCATAAAAATCATAATCCTTCTCGAGCTTTTAACAGAAGCAGATTCTAAGACGAGATTTTTCGTCGGAAGTATTAATGTTCTTTAGCATCCCCCAGATTTATTCTCATCGTGTTCCATATTTCTCTTGTGAAAAACCTGATGCCCCGGCGTTTAAAAACACAAAAACTGCTTACTGCTGCGAATATAAAATAGCCCACTTATTGTCCTTATAAAGTTCCTCTGGTTCAGCCTAAGCTGTCTTAGAAGACTCAAGTAAAAGAAAGACAAAAATTGAGTTCTTCGAGAAACTAAGAAATAAACTGAAAGCTACTTTTTAGAACTGTTTTCTTGTTCTTCTAGAGTTATAAAACCATCGAAAAAACTTTTTAGACTATTTTACAGTCTGCTTAGGCCAGTCAATAAATATCGTTTCTCTTTCTCTCTCTCTCTCTTTTTTTATTTATATGCGACTCTTTCTTAGTTCCCCTTTCGTAATGTTTCAAGAAAACTCAAGCGGAAAACATTTCTGAGCTTCCCTTAAATTTGAATTTACTCATTCAGAACATGGGAATATACATTTATATTTCAGATACAAATTGTAGACATTTCGATTTGTACAGATTTCATTTTGTTGCAATGAGATAAATTATAAGACCAATCATGAGCTGTTTATTTAAAAAATATATTATTTATATGTTTTCTACTAAACTGAATGCAAAATGTTTTCTTAAATGCTTTTCTTAATTTGAACTTTAATCTGCTGGTTTGTATTTTAGACAGTAAATACTGTTTTTAACCCACTGTAATTTGATTGGTTCATTAATATAATTTATTTTATTTAATCTCGCTATTAAAAACTTTGTGATGACCTTAAACATTAGAATTATACATTTTTGCTCAAAGAATGACGGGATACGAGAACATTTGTATGCATAACACTTCATCCTTCCGCATCAATCTGTTCTGCAGAGCCAAGTCTCAAATTGCGAATTCTAAAAGTTCAAATTAGAAACCAAGACGTTTTATGTCATATCACTACATTTTGCGTTTAACACAATGATGTTCCAATAATTTAAATTCCATACACTGACTCATTCTTGAATCGCTAAAACCTGTTCATCTATCCGATATTCAATACCGATGCTAAATGGCTTTATTATCTTCACTCACGAATTCTTGCACTTGGAAGTGTTCTTAAAAGCGAACTATTCTGAGCGTTTTGAATCTGCATTTGAATAAGAACTTCGAAACAAATTACGTGATAACGATTAAGCTAATCGTATTTTAATGTAGTGATTCATTTCCTGTTCCGAAACAAGGTACTTTTACGGAAACAATTTTCTCCAAACGAAATTTGAAACGACATCAAATGATCAGCAATTTTCTTCCGGTTCTAGCAGGAAGAGCAATTTTGGTATAGATTAATCGAATAAGAATGCTGATCGTAAATTATTGTATTATGAGATTTAAATTAGACACATAAAACAGCCAGAGAATCAACTTCCGTAAAAATAAATCCCATAAAATGTTAGGTTTGCAGATATTTTCTTGTCAATTATAAAAAATTCCCTGGGTCCTTTTTTAAAGATAATAATCTCATACGTTTTAAGCAGAATATTTAATGTTTATGAATGTGCTAAGGAAAAAAATACAAATCTATTTAATTATTAGTATGCTATTTTATTTAATTAATGTAACTAAATTATTTAAATCTGGTTATACACTCATGTCCATAAATTAAGGATAATTCCGAATCACACAGAAATTGAACTCTAAAATAAAAATTTCACCTGTAGAATTATCACACACATCTTGAAGAAGAATATGCAAATTACAGGAAACCACCAGATGGCACGGATAGTACGTCACAATGACGAGAGTGTAAGAGAGGGGTATATAAGGAATGGTGGCAAAGAAGTAAAATTGTTCACAAGTGCTTTAAAAGCCTTTCAGTGCAATAACCGCATAGTTATGGCACAAAGGAAGCATTTGGATGATTTTTTACGTGGTAGAATTATCGGACGACTGGAATGTGGACGTACCCAGCTAGAAGTATCCGAGGAACTTGGAATCGCCCAGAGTGTCATCTCCAGGCTTTGGCAACGATTCCAAGATGATGGTAATGTGAGTAGATGTTACAGCACAGGTCGCCCCGAGTTACAACGCCGAATGAGGACCAGTATTTGGCAGTTACTGCCAAAAGAAACAGACGGAGCACAGCATCAGACCTATCTCGTCAGCTCTCTTCAGCTACCGGTACGACAGTTTCAAGGCAGACCGTGTACAGAC